TTATTTGCAATGGGAAGCCATGGGAATGCCTGTTAATTGTTACAACAATAGTGAGACTTGGAACTTGGAATTTCTATTACAAAGGTCAGGCGCTCGTTTATTTGTAGCCTATAATATCAGGGAATTCTTAAACATACTCGTACTTGTAGGAATTCCCATATCAGAGCGCCGTTCAGTGTGAACTTCCAAAAAGGAGCCTTCCAGTGCCGTTGGGGCGTTGCATTTTCCGTGTATTTAACAAAGAAAACTAACAGATTTAAAAGACCGAAGTTAATAGGAGAAACAGACATCAAATGAATCCGGGAAAACACCTCGAAGTATTTCTAACACATCACTATGCCCGTAAGCATATTTCAATCAAATAATTCAAAACCATTCAAAAAAATAACAAAATTAACAAAAAAAATTCCGAATTTTTCGTTGCAAAAAAAAACTTTAATCTTTAAACGTTCAATCGACTCGCGGAAGATGTCAAACAACTGCCGCTCATTCGGAGGAATGCCCATCCGCAAGGTACTCCTTGCCACATCGCAGACCGTCGCCAGAGGGCCACGCCTTGGCCTCCAACTGAGGAACAGCAGCACAGACCGGCCACCGCTGCCGCTGGTCAAGGCCTTCTGGAAGCGACAAATTTTGGATGGAACATCGGTGATACGCAACTTTCCGGATCCTCGGAAAATGTTGCCGATCTTGCAGCCGCATCGCGGCCTGTTCGATGTTCAGATTCGATGGGCTGAGTTCCGGGAGCGGCAGCAACAGGAGGCGAAGGCCGCAGAGGAGCTCAGAGCGAAGCGCCGCAAGTGGCGTGCCACTCTCTTCATGGATGACCTCAATGATATAGAGCCATAGACATTACTCCGTTATGACCTGCAACGGTTGACAGCGATGATGGACAAAAGCACAAAATAAAACGAAACTTTCGACTTGGAATACTGCGAGTATAAAAATAATAAAAATGAACATTTCAAATGAATATCCAATTCTTTTCAGTCTCTCCTTCAACTCCAATGAAGTATCAGTTTTTGATTAAAAAGTGTTTTCTCTACAAAAACTACGACTACATCTGTAAAATGTAATCGCTTTAATCGCTTTAGTAAATGAGAATTCATTTTTCTGTCTTGTTCAATTATAATTTCGTTTATGTTTTGCTGTTTTTTCCAACAGTCGTGTATGCAAATGGCTTTGCTCCCCGTGCCGCTGCTGCAAGTCCCCCTCAAAAACAAACAGTTTCTCTTTCGATGGATAGCCATAAGACTGGTACCTGGTCCATGGTGCATGGTCCATGGTCCATAGTCTGTGGTCCAGGGGTTAGGCCATGCCACCATCAAACCCATTAACGACACGCATTCACAGTCATTTTCAATTTCGTGGCTGGGCTGTCACTTAATTTGGGAGCAGTTGCAGCAGCCACCCACGCCACGCCATGCCACGCACAGACACACACACACACACACACACACATAGTTGAAGCCTTTTCTATGGTCTCACTCTCTCATAGAAGTCTCTGTGGCAAATGCAATTTTCACTACCTACGTGGACAGCGCCTCCCCCGCTGCTGAGCTTCAGACGGAGGTGCACTTGGTCTTGGAGTTGGGGCGGGGAATCTGGCGCCCCGTTATACTCGTACCGCCGTCTAACAAATTAGTTACTGACGCAATATTTCTGTGTGTATCTCTGTGGCCTGTCTTTCGACTCTGACTCTGACTCTGTCTCTGTGTCTTTTTCTGCTATCAAAATCACACGCAATAAATTTAATTTGCTTGGTGGGCAGCAAGCTACAGCAGATGCAGATGGAACTGGCACTGGCATTGGCACAGGTGTTGCTCCTCAGGTAATGCTTCTCCTCAGTTAATGCTGCTGCTTCTGCTTCTGCTGCTGCTACTCCCTGCCTGGCTGCCTAGAGATGGAGATGGAGGTGGTTGTCCAATTAATAAAAGAAAACGCAGTCATAATGTTTTGATTAACACAAATGTGACAAGAGATGCATAAAAATTAATTTCCAATCTTGTTTTCTGCCGCTTCTTCTGTGATTTACGAGTGGATTGAATGCGATGCGATGGGTTGTGGATTGGGGATTTGGATTGGGGATTGGGATGGGATGGTATGGGTTGCCCGATGGGGATGTGGGTCACTGCTGGTGTGGCGTTAGGTGAAACCGTAGATGCGTGAGAGACTGGTCTGCCCAGACGCCGAAGTGGTCCAAATCGGATTGCCCCAAGGTTGAGCTTTTTTGGTTTCGACCTTCCTTTAATGGCTTGTCGCTGGTTGCCGAACAACTAGTGCAACATTTTCGATTTCCTTTTAATGGCGCGGCCATAATTTGAACAGCGGGCTAGCAGCGACCGAAGACCGACGACCCACTGCCCAAGACTCCTCACGCACCAGCAGCCAAACGCCCCCAGGCGGCAGCAGAGACCAGATTGGAGGCAGACACCAGAGCCAGAGACCAGAGCCAGAGAGCAATTAATTGATGAGCAGTGTCCAGGCACTTGGTCAAGACTTTGGCATGACAGCAAATTGCATTTGCCCCGTGCGCTCTCTGCTGCTCCCTCCACACCCCCCACTCATCCCACACTGTTCATCGTCGTGTGGAGTGCGTGCCATTGCCATTGCCATTGCCATGGTCATTGGATCCAGTGGCAGACGACAGCAAGCACAGCAGCCAGCCAATCGTTGGAATGCGCCAAGCCAGAATCATGTACTACACTGCCAGAAAATAGAAGGGAAACTGAAAATGGAAACGAGATCATTTCAGAGAATGGTCTATGGGAATTTTTCATAAATGGATATGTTCTTGTATTTTTTGTTGTTTGTGTATTCCCACTGGAGAGCAGTAAATCGTTTGCGAGATTTGCACCTGACACGCATTACACACATTCTCACAGTTGCTCAATTTTCATTCCATTGCTCGCTCTCCCAGCAGTTCCTTCCATGTATCTCCGGTCTTTATATTTCTTTGAATAAATTGGAATATACATATATATGTATGTACCCCCCTTTTTTTTTTAATCTCCGCTTAAGACTGCTCTATGAATATTTCCCTTCAATTTTTGCCAGTGCATGCGCTCATGAAAGAGTGAAAATAATGAATGGGTTTCAATTTAATTCATAATTGCACTACTTTTTCATGAATGAGAACCAATTCAAATCTCAATCTGCATCCGGCATTGCGCCCTTCTTTTTCTCCCAGTGCATGCGGCGGCCCAAAAACGAAAATATTGATGATATATTTATGGGTATTTATTGGCGGTGGCACTTCAAAGTCGGCCGTCGCCTGAACAAATTGTGGAAATTTATAAGCGCTCTGGAAATCTTTTGGAAATCTCTGCGGGTCGTCGTCGACCACGACCACTGTGCGAGTATCTGTATCTGGGCATGGGCATGCGCATGCGCAGGCTTCCGCCCGAGGGCGACATCTGGCGGCTGGGGCTGAGGCTGTGGCCAAGACACCATCGAGGACTTGCAGGACTTGCAGAACTAGTAGTGTTGCAGACCGGAATTTAGTTGCTAGCGTGGCGTGGGCGTCGATAGGTGAGAAAACTGTGAAGCAGACCTAAAAAAAAAAATAAAAAACGCTGAAAAACTGAAATGGAAAATTCATTTGTTCGGTGCCGCACAATGTCGCATTGTCAGGGCAAAAATACTTTTGGTAAATACTACCAAAACAAATTTAACATGCCCCATGGCATTGTTGTGCCCCAACCGCAGAAGCAGTGTGTGCTATGGTCAAATTTTTGGGGGCACAAAGGCGACGCCCGCCCCGTCCACTTTCACTGCAAATTTGCGGCGTCTCTAAGTCTGTATGTGTGTGTGTGTGTGTGTGTATCTAAAAGAAAGTGAATTCTACTGTGCTACACTTGACCTATGACAATCGACAACTACAGCGACAACTGTGGCAGCAACAACATCAGCAGCCAGCCACCAGCCAACAGCCAACAGCAAACAGCAACTGCAACAGTAACGAACGTTTGACGTTTCATTTGATTGTCATGCAATGCAGTTGCCCCTGCCACTGCCACATGCCACATGCCCCATCCCATCCCTTTTGCGTCGAGTCGAGTCGAGTCTTGTCTTGTGGATCAATGCTGTCCCCAATTGATTTCTGTTTAACTTCTGAACATGCAACAAGGCGTAGCACAGTCCACCCCGTGGCTGCACTGTGTGGCAGCATTTCATGGGAAAGTGCAACGAAATTTGGAATAAAACATACGAATGGGGATAAACGGGGAGTTGGAAAGTCAAGGCCATGTCTCCGAAAATGAAAATAAACATTAAATTACGATCGAAAACAAAAAAAAGAATTTGTATTAGATAAGAAAAGATAAGCAGAAATAGATCTTACAATAAATTAATATTCATTTTGGGACCATTATTAACATGGGTTAAGGTTAGAAGAGTTCCTTTAAAAGTATAATCATATTTATTGGAAACTAGTGACAATATTTCGATTTTGAAATGTGTTGAATGTTGGCATGGGCATGGGCATGCTTTAGCTTATTCCCGGATTGTAGATCTTGTTTTGAGTTTTAAAACTTTAAATTTCAATGCACTTCCTTGTGATTTTCTTATCCATCTTTTGAAATTTATGAAATTCTAAGAATTTAATTCTAGATCTCATTTTGTTCGCTTTAATTTATTAATTTATACAATTCTCTGAGAACAGTATACCATTGATATTCTCCCCGACCCTCTGTTGCCCCACTGTCACTCCTCTATTGCCAACCCTCCTCTGTGTCGTTCGTCCGCGCCCCCTCTGCGTTGCCCTGGGCAACCGAATGAATTGTGTTTAATGCGGTGGCACGGGGGGCCGTGCCCCATTGCATGCGGTGCCGAAGCCCAAAGAACTTTGGCCCATTTGAAATGCGGCAATTGTGTATCTGGCAGATACACACACACACCCTACAGTTCCCGTACCTCACCCTTTTCTGGCACACTCTGAACTTCATTTCACACGTGTCTATAGCTATTTGTTTTTTATTCCGCTTCGATTCTATTTGCAGGCCGACGACACGAACATTGAGGCAGGGCCACCTTCGGTAGGAGGAGAAGCAGGGATCACCGAAAGCCCAAAATTAGCAGAAAAGGAGGAGAAGCAAAAGAAGGAGGAGGAGACAACGAAGGAACAGCAGTTGGGCGAGATCTTGGTGTTGAATGACACGCAAATCGATGTCCCAGTGGGACACACGAGCGTGCCCCAGGAGGAGGTAAGCACGGGAATGGCCAACGCAAGGAACGAGGCCAACAGGCCAGCGCCCATAGCCTGCAATGAGGAAGAGGACGCTGACATGGACGAGGAGGAGGAGGATCCGGATCCAGTGGTGGCAACAAATGCTAATTATGTGTGCTGTCAATACCCTGCAACAACGGAAACAACTGCAGCAACAAGCAGCAACAGCAACAGCAACAACGCTGTGGCAACTTTGAACCGCGGCACATCGCGGGTTCGCGAATATCTTAAGAAATGCAGGCAACGCTTAACGGGTCAGCAGCAGCAGCCACAGTCAAAGACAACTACTACTACCACCACGATAATAATGATCAGGAATGAAGCTGCAGCCACAGAGACAGCTACAGACACAGCCACAGCCACAGCGACAGCCACAGCGATAGATGTGGCAGAAGAGATGCAGGAGGAGGAGGAGGAGGAGGAGGAGGATTGTTGTTCAGATGATGCCTCCTCCACAGCGTATGCGGACACCCAACCCATTGACTGTAGTCTCAGGGCGCAGCAGCAGCAGGCGGTCCACAAAGTGGAAATGCATCCCATACCGCTGACTGGCGCTGGCGCTGTCGCTGTCGCTGACTTTGTTGAGGTACGCAAGCAGCCACAAGGAAGATTTGGGCGCCCTTTTTCTTACCCCCTTTTTTGCATCATTGCAGGCTGACGTCAAAGACAAGGAGACGGTGAGGCAGAACGAGGATATGGATGTGGATGTGGATGTGGACGGCATGCTGGCCCATCTGATTGACAGCCATCTGTCGCACATTTATCCCGTCTACTGGGCACGCACGCGTGCGATATTAATCCAGCAGGCACGTGAGCGGCTCGACTACTCCTTCGATGGCTGTTTGCAGCGCTTCGAGCAGCGTTTCCTATGCAAATTTGCACAAATTGCCACAACGCTGCGCGCCGCTCATCAAATTGGCGAGGTAAGTGGTCGTCATTGTCGTAAAGAATCTGCAGAGCAGCAGGACGGGGTCCTAGAGCAGAGAGTAATCTGTGTGGAAATCCGAGTAAAAGATATATCATTTACCAGCCAGCAGTTGCCAGCGGAATTAGCCGTTGAGGAGTAATTTTCTGCCATGGCAATGAAGTTCTTTAAATCGGAGTTAAATTTACTTTGATTTTGGGTTGGTTTTCCTTCTATAAATTGTTGGAATACTTAAGGGGAGCCCTTTAAGTAATCCCTTGAGGCCCTTGAGGCCATTTGCAAACATTTATTCTTGGAATGGGAAATGCTTTGAAAAACGGAATGAAAAGTCAAGTAAACCCCTAAAATTGTATCAGAATTGGCATGCATTGATCCCAAATTCCCTTCAGCTGCCCAAAATATCATTTGCCCGAATAATACATTTTTCTTTAATATTTAAGTTTAAAATATGCAAAAGAACATTCAAAGGCTAGAACAAACCCCAATTAATATCTTTCATAAGTAATATCTTTCACTGGCATATAATTTCGTCATTATACTGCAATCAATAAACTGCATCAATATCCATCCCACTTCTACATTTCCAATGTGACTGGTAACAGCAATGCCGCTGTAACAGCTAACAGCCTCTGTTAAAATAGGTCGAAATTAACTGCAGCGCTTGCTAACGTCGCTGTCTTTTCTGCACTCTCGGGTTTTTATGCCATTTACTCGTCTCTCTCTCTATCTCGTAACTTAACATAATCAACAACAGTTGAGAGTTTATACAGTGGGGAGCAAAAGTGAGTACATACTCAGTATCACCGACTTTCGTCGCCCATAACAGCTAAACGCATAAAGCAAAGCAAACCAAATATTTTTCATATATCAATTACTTTATTCTTAGAAAATAGGTAATAACAACAAAAACAGATGGGAAGCTTACATTGAGAGAAAAATAGAAAACCAAAACAACTCGCATGTACTCAGTTTTGAACTTTTTACAAACATCTAAGAAAATCAATTAAACTTAATATTTTGTCCATAGACCCTTATGAGAAATGACATTATAATACGCTTTGGCATACCCTACCAAGTCCAATAATGTCTTCGGAATACGATTCCATTCCATCTGTACACGGCCCCAGGGTCGCCTAATTAGATGGGGCTGATTCGTACTGCCCTAGCCGTCGTTTCACGATTGACCATAGGTTTTCAATCGGTTGGGTCGGGCTTTGAGCTGGCCACCCATCAACTTAAAACTTTGATTCCCTAGCCATTCGACAATTTTCGCTGTGTGCTTCGGATCCCCATCTTGTTGAAAAGTAATTTATGCTTCGGAATAGGCACATTTTTCAAGAATGGAGATGGGCTAAATTGTAAATAGTCCTCTTTTCGCATGATCCCATCTATTTTTTTTAGAGGACCAACGTTCCACCATGTAAAACATCCCATACCATGATATTGCCGCAGCCACGTTTCACAGTTTGCTTAACATGGTCTTGCAGTTTTTCTCCGGGCCTACGCCAACAATACTGCTTTCCATCCGATTGATAACGGTTGAATTTTGACCCATCAGACCAGATTACGCGTTTCCAGTCATCCTTCGTCCAATTTTTATGCTCCCTTGCAAATTTCAACCTTGCTTTGACATTTTTTTCCGACAATGCTGGTTTTTTTTTTCTTAACGGCTGCAATGTACCAAGTTGTGAAGCGCTCTTCTGGCTGTCGAGCGACTAACATTTTTGTTTATTGCCATAGAAGCATCTTTTGGTGTTAGTAACTTATTTTTCCTCATTTCCGAAATCATAAGTCTAGCTTCTGGTCTGTTACTCTAGGGCGGCCTTGGCTTGCTGTTTGGGGACAACATTACGCCTCTTTTGCACTCTGATCACCACCATTGACTAATTCCATGCTTTTTAACAATAGTACGTGTCGAACAGCCACTATTAGTAAGACACACAACACTATTTTCAATTTCAAGAATAGTTTTCTCATTTTCAGGCACAAAGTGTAAAAAAATTTAGTAAATTCAATAAATCTGCACCGCTTTTAAGAGCACGTCAAATTAAAGTATGTATGACAAGAACACAAAAAGAAGGATTTAACTCTAAATCTCAAGCTTTTTGCTGATAAAAAACTTGAGAGCGCGAAAAAAAGTGCAATAGACGAAAAGTTCAAAACTGAGTACTGCGGTTGTTTTGGTTTTTATTTCTCTCAATGTAAGCTCCCATCTGTTTTTGTTGTTATTACCTATTTTCTAAGAATAAAGTAATTGATATATGAAAAATATTTGGTTTGCTTTGCTTTATGCGTTTAGCTGTTATGGGCGACGAAAGTCGGTGATACTGAGTATGTACTCACTTTTGCTCCCCACTGTACGTAAAAACGTTTTTATAGACTGTTAAGTTTACAGCGGCGCAGCAGCAACGCGCTGCCGCTGCCGCTGCCTGGCTCCAACGCTCGCTCCATCTGCGGTCTGGCGGAGCTCAGTTAAACTTGATTTTGATTTTGAGACGCGCAGTCGTGTGTGCGGAACCGATAGCAGAACGTTCAACGTTCAGAGTATTCGTCTTCGTGTATTCGTGTAGTTATCGAAGCGGCCCCAAGAAATTCGCGGAGAAATACAAAAAAAAAATGCAAATATATTGAATTGAATATCCCCCAAGTGATGAATGAATGAATGCAATATATCTAGTGCCTAGAAAAAACGCTTTATACTGAAAAAAAGAGTGTGCCTTCAAATGTTGTGATGTTTTTTTACTATCTTTGAGAAAATAAAACAAAAAAAGAGGAATAATCGTAAAATAAAAAGCAAAAGAAAAATAAAAAGTGCCCATAATATCGCCAGCATCTATAGAGCATCTATTTTGTTATATAGAAAATTAACGACAAACCAAGACATAAATCAACGGATTCCGTATTGGATTCCCTTTATGCAGCACCACTAGTTACTGGAGGTAATACTCGTATCTGATTTCTGGTTTACGCTCCACGATCTTACGATCTTTCCTTCCAAAGATCGTTAACGTAACATTTATGGCCAATAATTGTCAAGTGTCGAGTGTGTGGAGCGACGACGACTACGACGACGACCCTGACCTCAGAATTCATTAAAAATCAATTGTTTTCCACTCGATTGGCAATTTGCATACTTAGTACACACACACACAGAGCAGCAGCGGCCACGGGCAGAAAGGCCAGCGGAAGCGTCCTTCGGTGCAGCCCACGCGGTTTTGTTAGAATCTAAAGACCACTCTCTCAAAGCTGCTGCCACATACATTCAGAGAAGGGGCTTCGTGGTTAAGTCAATGACAAAAAAGTACAAGTACAAGTGTGGGCTGTCTGCTGTGCGCTGTCTTTGAGCGCCCCCTTCTAAGACTTCTAGTCATGACCATAAAATGGTTCTTAACGCTGCTTATCAGTGGCCGAGTGAGCCGTGGACGTGGACCCCATAAATGTGTGTGTCTAAAGTGTAATTTATAATAATTTTTTTCGTAACGCATACGCACTGTGTGCGCACATCTGTGGGAGGCAGTTTATAAAGTGCTGCTCGGCTGTTGCGTGACCTACTTGCTACTTGCTACTTGAGTGCGAGTATATTTGAATCAATCAGACAGCCAGCCCAGGCAGCCCAGCCACATTTGCAGCTGATTTGGAGGAGTCGTAAATGTCTGTGTGCGTTCTGTGTGCGTTTGACCTGCCACAGCGATTGCAATTTGTTGCAGCTGCTGCTGCCTCTTTGCCCTCTCTTTGCATGTTAATTGCCTTTTAATTTGTTGCATGGTGCTGCTGCTGCTGCCGCTGTTGCTGCTCAATGGAACTCCATAGCTGAGATTTCCAAAACGGGGCACGTTCTGTAATTTAATTCGGTTTCTGCGCAGACGCAGCCACACAAACGAAAACGCAAACGCAGAAGGGTTGCCCCTTTTTGTTCTGGAAGCGGAAATTGTGTATTAAGTGGAAACGAAATACAAAAAAAAAAAGGGGGAACACACATAAAGAGGAGTGGAGTGGAGTGGAGTGGAGTGAGGTGGAGAGGTACAGTCGGATTTTCGAAGTGAACTTTAATTTTCGTCGGAGGGAACAACAACACGGCATATCACTTAGTGGAACAGCAATTACGATTAGGCGATGGCCATTGGCCAATGGGCTTCCGAGTTGAATGTGTGTCCAGCGAACAGTGTGGAGTGTCCCATCAATCGCTGCAGCAGCCACAGCAGCAGCAGCCACAGAAGCAGCAGCAGCAGCAGCAGCCACAGATTGTGTCCATTGGAGTTTGCTCTTTCGATCTGTGTTTGCAATAATTTGCAGAAAAGTGCTTTGAACTGTTGCTGTGTGTGTGTGTGTGTTTGCTTTTGAACACACAACATGATCGGCATTTGTTAGCGATAATGAATTGAACATTTCTGCAAAACATGTTTGTACATAATTTGTATGCAACAGCAACAGCAATAGCAGCAGCAGCACCTCCACCCCTCCCCCAGGAGTGGTCTCCGGAGGCTCCACTTGGGTGCTCTTTCTCTCTCTCCACTGCCTGGGATACATACTATACTCGTATACTATACATATTTGTGTTGGTCTAACTAAGAGCATCTGGCAAAGGCATTTGCTGTTTGTTTTTCCAGCGCAAAGACAGACAGACAGACAGACAGACAGACTGAGAGAGACTCCAGAGACATGGAGGATAGAGAGAGAAATGTGTGTGTGTGTGTGTGTTTGTGTGTGCTTGTGTGCAAAAGTGTAAAGTGCATATTTATGGCTTGCATAAAATAACTTGTAAAAATGCATTCGCAACTCCATTCATTCCTTGAGTGCATTCGGCACATTCGAACACGTGCTTGAATGACCAAATGGCCATCACATATCACATCATCATACACTCCTTGGGCACAGTCACACACACACGAGCATTGGGAAGGAAGTTGTCATTTCAGGATACGCGTACGGATGATGATATGTGACTGGGTTCACAAATGAGTGGAGTGGAGTGTATAGAGTGGGGGGTTTCTTGAATAA